TCACCATCCCATCTGCTTTTCCCCATCAGTTCCACATATTAAAAATATATGAGACAGGGGCAGCTAGGTGGTGCAGTGGATAGAGCACCAGCCCTGGAGTCAGGAGGACTTGAGTTCAAATGTGACCTCAGACACTTGACACTAACTAGCTGTGACCCTGGGCAAATCACTTAACCCCATTGCCTTGCCAAAAAAAAAATTTTTTAATATACATACAGAAATACTTCTGTGCGTGTGTGTGTGTGTGCACGCACACACACACACACACACACACACAGAGGACATTAATTTAGAGGGGATAAAATACAAGTAAAACCATTCCAACTTATTAAAAGTAAAGGTATGTTGCATTCTTCCCTAAAACACAAGGAAATACAGATAAATTCCTTATACTTCCCTCAGTTGATGTACCCAAAAGAACATGGAGAATAGGCTTATGGGAGAGTGCCTACAGGGCCTTTCCCAGATGCTAAGACATGTCCAATTCAATCCTCTAAGTATTTTTTAAGTGCCTACTCCACACGAAGCACAGTGCTAGGTACTAAGAATACAGACAGAATTAAGACCAGTCCCTGCCATCTAGGGACTTGAACTGTAACAGGAAGATGAAACATGTACACAAATATATGTAACAGGGGTAATCATTAGAAGGGAGCCTCCTCATCCTCATCTGCTGGACTGGAGAAAAATCTCCCCCCTCCAGTCTCTAAGTCCAGGGAAGAGTTGGCAAAGCCCCAAGTGACACATTCAAAAGACAGAAAGAAAGAGGCCAAGCCTTTCTCCTCTCCTTTTATAGCCTACTGAGTGGGAAGCTCATCCTGGCTCAGTCACCAATTATCTCTGACACAGTTACCCAGTCACAGGGACTGGTAAGGGAATTCTGCATCAACCCATGGAGCAAGTCCTTCCACACTAAGCGTATGTACATGCTCACAGAACCAGAGCATTTGCCCAGGTCCCTGGAAGGTGTCCCCCCTTAGCAGATTGAGGGGCCTCCCTAATAATCCCCATTACATATATTTTATTTTTTATATTTTTTTACCTTATATGTATAGACATATACTTGAAGGTATGTGTGTATAAATGTATAAATCTATATCTCTATATACATATAGATAGATATAGATGTATATAGATACATACATATAGATATATGTGTAGATATAGATAGATAAATCTTAATGTATTTTAAAACGCAGACTCTCAAGTTAGTGGAGAATATTCAGGAAAATTAGAACTGCCATTTGGTTCTTGGGCATTGAATGTCAGCCAAGTAAAACCAAGGATCAGAACAAGGTCATCTGATCTTGGTTCTCACCCATTTGTGCTTTAAGCCCCATATTCAAACATTCAAGTTCTATTCTCACAATCTCAGCTTACATGTAGGGTGATCAGATCTCCTGCCCAAGGGCACAAGATGATTGCCTTTGGCAGGGGTTAAGAAGGTGCTTCCTCATCCCCCATTAAGAGCATTTCATAACTAGCTAAGTGCAATGAAAGGAGTTTTGTTTGAGGGTTTTCACCTTCACCAGAAGCACCACTGAGGTGAAATTTTAGTTTAGTTGAATTTTCATTTACATACATGCACACACAAAAAGAATACCATAATCGGAATGTTTCTGGAAGGGCCTAGAATTTACGGATGTAAACTTTTACACTCAGCTTCTTTTTCAAACCCTTACCCGTTGAAATAGCTATTATGTGAGTACAGATCAAAGTCATATATCAAGACAGTGGTAGAGCCAAGAATAAAATTTACCTCCCTTGACTTACTAGAATGTGTTAGAGATTAGATGACAAGCCCTATTGGGATGGAAGCCACACACAGGTCTATTTCTTTTGTAATAGTAGATAGGTGTTATTATCCCCATTTTACAGAGAAGAAAACTAAGGCTCAGAGAAGTTAATTTGCTCAGGGTCACACAACTACTATCTAAGACTCAATTAGAATAATAGGCTGAGAAGTGAATGGAAAAGTTAGAAAATATGAGGGCTCTTTAGCTAGAAAGGATGCATATCCTATTGCAGGAAGCTTCTATTTCCTCTGGGGAAGGGGAAAAGGTAAGGGAATAAGTATTAAGCACCTACTATGTGCAAGGCACTGTGCTAAGCACTTTTTAAAATAAATATTATCTCACTGGATCCTCTCAATAGCCCTGTTAGGTGAGTGCTATTATGACACTCATTTTACAGTTGAGGAAAATGAGGCAGACAAAGATTAATTAAGTGATTTGCCCTGAGTTTCACAGCCAGTAAGTGTCCAAGCCTGTATTTGAACTCAGGCATTCTTGACTCCAGGCCTAGTGCTCCATCCACTATATAACCTAGCTGCCTACGACTTAGTCTATTTCAATTAAAGAGTTCTAGGGCTGGCCTGACTTCAACTACCTAGTTAACTTTGGGTCTCAGTTTCTTAATCTGTAAAATGGCAGAGTGAAGCAGGTGGGAGAAGGAGGAAGGAGGTATCAAGATTTGAGGCAGGGAGGAAGATGATCTCAAAGATCCCTTCCCCACTTCAAACTCTATGCTCCTAAAAAAAAAATTTAAGAACTTAATCTGTTACCTAGTCCTAGGACTAGCCCAAGGAGCATAAGAAAATGGAGAAGACCTGTAAAGGCTCCATCTAAAGAAGGAAGATGAAAAGATAGAGACAGCAGAGTCACCTGAGGTTAAGACAGGGCACTGTGGCATTGGAGTAGGGAAGAAGGAGGGGTTGCCTTCAAAAGTCTCCCTGCTGAGAAGGCAAACAGAAAGTCCCGCCTAGTGATGTATTTCCAACCACAAAGAACAGAATAATCTCAGAAGTTTTGCATTATAAAGCCAACAAGGGCACAGACAGAACAATAATCACACACAAACCATGTGAGGGCCACACTATCATACCAAAAGATGAAAGCATGAACAGGGCACCCAGAATAAACAGGGCATAGCTAGTGATGTGGCCTGGCAGCCTCCTTTCCCTGCCTTCCAGCTCTCTCCTCACTAAACAAAACATCAAGGCCACCCATCTGCCAGTTTTACAAGACCAGGTAGGGCTTTGCCTCTTCTTGCCTTCTGGTTAGCTGGATCGTTTGTTTGATGGCCGCCATGTCTGCCTCTGGTGTGCTGGCACAGAGGTGTCCAATCAGATCTTTCGGCTGGATCGTGTCTAGAATGATGGAGCTAATACCGTTTAGTCATTTGGTCACTCAGGTAATCAAGAGGCATTTATTAAGCACTTACTGCGTACTAGACACTGTGCTAAGAACAAGGAATACAAAGAAAGGGGAAAAAAATAGTATCTGCTCTCAAGAAGTGCGAATTCTAATGGGGAAGGTAGCATATGAATAACTAGGTCCGTGTGAGATACAAATATGTGTGTATGTAAGTATATATGTGTGTATGTGTGTGTTGTATACATATACACACATATATGTATATACACATATATGTATACAAAATATATAGAAGGTAATATCAGAGGCAAAAGCACTAAAGGGGGGGGCAGAAAAGATCTCCTGAAGAAGTTGACATTTGAGTTGAGTCTTGAAGGATGCCAGGGAAACTAAAAGGCAGAAGTGAAGCAGAATAGCATCCCAGGCACAGGGGAGAGCTCAGTGCAAAGACTTGGATACAAAAGAGAGAGTGTCATGTGCAAGAAGCAGAAAGTAGGCCATTACAGCTGGATTGTAGAATGCAGGGGAATAAAGTATAAGAAGACTGGAACTAAAGGAAGGGACCAGGCTGTGATGATATTCTATTGCAGGAAGCTTCTATTACCTCTGCGGAAGGGGAAAAGGTAAGGGAAGACAGAACTTTCTATTTCTAGACCTGTGCTTTGGGAAAATCATTTGTTTAGCTTGCTCTTAATTGTTATTTCATCTTTGAAATTGAATTGTAATGTTATGGACCTAAAAGACATATTGATGGCATGGTCTAGATCGAGCTAAATTAAATTATTTCCAGGGGCCATATAGGATTCTGTCTGGAAGTGGCTGGAAGCATGCTCCTGGACCACGGATAGCCACAGGTTTGCAGGCCATAGTGCCAGGATAGACCAGTATTCCAGGCCCCGGGGGAAAGTTTGCATTAACCTAGTCTATAGAAGATGAACCCACCAATGAGTCAACAACCTTTACCACATGGCCAGGGTACAAGACTACATTAAATGCCCACCCACTCCCCTCTAAACCAGATGTGAGTTGTATGCATACCATGAGAAAACCGTACAGACACAATATTATGTGTGCTTAACACAAATGAGAATGTTTGTACATGTTAATTGGGAATGAGTAAGAGATTGACAGCCTGGAAACAGAACAATGGGTGAAAGATGTGTGGACTCCGCCTGTGTGGGGAACAGTGATGAGTCAAAGAGACAGGATGGCTCACCTGCCAGTGAGAGAGGAAACCTAGAATGAGGTGAGCTCAGACCAGAAGCGATTGCATCAGTGGAGCCAGGCACTAGATAAGAGGAGTTGATGAAGTTAAGTTAGGCATAAGTTTAAAGAGGCTCTTTCAGAAATGGAACAATGCCTGCATTTCTTATCTCACCGCTCTCTTGTTGAGGGAAGTTCTACATACATAATAAGCTATCTAGTACTCCTGCAATTATCCTAGAGCATCATTCTTATAACCTGTCCCCCAAACCTTTCTTTTCCTAAGCTCCTGAATGTTAAAATTTTCACTCATTTAGAACAGGAAGGCATTTTACAGTTAAGACTGCCTTCTTTTTTTGTCTGTTTTTTTTTTTAATTGTTCATACAAATGAGAAGACAGAACTGGAAAGGAGGAAGAGATTTGGCTAAGGTCACACTCAGATAGTAAATAGCAGAGCCAGGATGCAGCACCAGCTTCTCTAGCACCAAATCCAATGGCCTTTGCTGCGTCTTTGAATCACTTCAGTTGTTGCCATCAGGAGAATGAGCCCTGGAATGGGAAAATCTGCATTAGAGGTGAGACAAAAAAAGCCAGAGAGACACAGTTTCTGGGTAATTAATAATCAATTTATTAATTAGGCTAGCTGATAATCAGTAAATTGATGGTCAGTGGTCTCTCTCCATAACCAAAGACCCCTAATGGAGACACTGAATACCTTAATATATTTTTAGAAAAGGGGTTGCTCCTGACAGGTGAAAATCAACCCTGATTGGTGAACAATTAATGAGGGGGAGGCATATTAATAAGGAGGCAAGCTAAAAGTTTCAGCTCCTCCTGCTGAGATCCTGGCTTAATCATGAGCCTCAGCTGCCTCCAGCAATTTGGACCAAGGAATCCTTATCTACCCAGACCACTCTGATTGGTTTTCTCCTTCATGAGCTAGGTTACCCTAAACTCCAATGAAGGGGTGCAAGGGCATAGACTTGATGCTTTGGGGCTGGAATTCACCTAGATTAGATTCAATTTACACTCTAAACAGAAGTAAAATCTTTTAGTTGGGTGGGGTCCAAGCCAAGATCTCAGAGCAGGGAACCCCACCCCCACATGGAGGATTAGGCCAATGTCATCAATCAGTCTTGTCCCTCAGAGGCTGGCTGACCTATAGGGTCTGGTCCCTGAATGAAGAAAAAAAAAACATGGATCCTAATTAGTAATGGGTTATTAATATAAGAGAACATAATCATTTCTCTCAGAGGGAAAGCTGCCCAACACAGGTCTATACCTCTAGTGGAAATTTATCTTTAGGAAATAAGCCACTGTTGATTTACCAGGAAAGTACAAAAAGAGCATCATATTAGGTATTTAATACATGTTTGCATAGTGCCTGGAACATACTAAGTACTTAATACATGTTTATTAGATTGATAAATGTATACACAATTATAAATGAATTGCTCCAAATGAGTTATTGGAAGCTTGGATTTCTGCTGGGAGAGTGAAGGTGGCGAGGGGGAAGAATGAGAAAGAAGAGATTATATGAAATTCTTCCAAAAAGATTCAGCAAAACTAATTTTGGTTTATTTGAGGAGGTAGGGGTGAGGGAAGGATACTGTCACACCCTTTAGGAGGAAGAGGAGGGAAAGAGTCACAATAATATCAAAGAAACAATAATCAAGTGTTGCAACTGGAAGAAAACTGGGACACCAGATGCTAAACAAACACAGAGCAGGCAGTGTCAGAATGCCCTAAAAATATACATGGATCCCTCCTCCCCTGGTGCCTGTCATTTGGTGTCCCATGACACTCCTGGATCACCCACTAAACAATTTTCTGTAAGTTTGAATTTTCCCTCATTTGGCAGCTAAAGGATACTTTCTACAGACTAACTGGCTTTTCAGCTGAGATATGTTCAGCTAAAGACCGTATCTCACAAGAGACCTGGCAAGAAGTTTTCTCGTGGAGAAATTCATTACCAGTTACACAATCTCAAATGCTTTCACACTGGCGATCCTAGGAGCAAATTCTTTCAGAATGAAAAAATCAGAAAAATAATTAGCCAGACACTCTCCACATTAGATTGTTTTTGTTTGATGGCACATAATTTGCACCTGTGCCATACAAATGAATGAATGGGCACTAATAACCATGGCTCAAATGACCTCTACCTACAGTGAAGGGAGATATTTGTGCCTTTGTCTATTTCAGAGAATACAGACTTCAGAAAATTCCCCTTTGGTGCAGGTTACGGAATGTTTGCTAAGTTGCTATTTAATGCTGAGCCCAGAGTTCTGGGGTCAGCCCCTACCCTTGCTCCCTCCCAGTCCAATGTGATCTTTTCTCACTTCCCTTTCATTCATTACATATATATATATATGATCTTATTTCACCATCTTACATGGGAGATATGATTATGAAGCACAAACCACACACATCTAGTGCAGCTTATAGTTATACCACCTAGAGTCAAAATCACTTCTTTGACCAATGTTGGTGAATCCCCTCTTCCTTCATTTGCTGCCATAAAGTTTTCTGTTCCGTATTCTTTTCCTTCTTTCATTTTTATCTTTCTTTATTTGTCCAGGTAAAATTTCTTAGATCCCAGCATGTTCCTCCTCAGGAATGCCTCTCTCTATGAATTATGTCATCTCCCATTAGATGGCTGCTAGATTTCAGTGTCTTATGCCCTAGGGTTTCTTCTTGGGAACAAAGGAGACTTAGAACATTCACAACAACTTGACTGGAGGGGTCACCTTGTTAACTAAATGAATTTAAATTTAAACATTTCCTCTTGGGCTTCACTGGGAAGGCCAAAATGGGGCCTATTGTCCCTATATTTGACTCCTCTGTGTTAGATGATAAGAATGATGCTGCTTCACATTTGGCACCACAAGAAAGCAAAACTTAACAGAATTGATCAGAAATACAAGTACCCTTCCTGCTAAAACTGTATCAGGTCAAATGGCACTGACCATTACACCAGAAATGTTATTAAAGGTAATAAGGGCATATTTCATTATGCACCAGTACTGTTTAATAACAAAATTAGAAACAGATCTCACTAGGTATAGGAAAGGACTTTATATACTCTTTTTTGTCAATGGCATTCTTCGCCCCAACTCACATTGTATATTGCTATCCAATAAAGAACTTCTTTTTAATAAAATTTCTTTCCTTTAATTTCTTCTTTAATAGAAATTCTTTTTTTAAAAAAGAAACTACATCCCTAAATCTTTTTAAAACAAAATGAGAGGGGGAAATGTAGAGCTACTAAAATTTGAAGAGGGAAAGGTTGAAGAAGTTCAGGTCATTGAAAATCTTCACTTAATACAAACTTGAGTAATTATGCCTAATAATAAAAGAGATGACAAAAATAGCACTAAAGTCTCAAATGGTTTTGTAAAGGAGATGGGCAAACTTAGACTGGAATTCTGAAAAACTCTTTTTTAGTTTGATGGCACAAATCCAACTTGCAGATCGATTCTACCAAAACAAGGTAATTTTAAAAAGCTGTAAACACATTCTCTCATAATATTTGGCAGAGAGAATAAAAACATTTCTGGACCTGAATCAGTAGCATATGTAGTAGCCATTGCCATAGTAAGAACCATAGGAGGAAAGGGAGAAAGATCAAGAAATACTGCTAAGGCTAAGCATCAAACACCATTCATGTCAGAAGCAACTTAGAGATCTATTGAAGACCTTCAGAAAGGTCATGAAGATTATGTCATCACATGGCTGATATGTGCATATGTGCAGTAGAAAATTTAAATGCAATATTGCTGGATTAAAGACGAAAAAAACACGTTAGAAAGGAATCTAGAACACAAAAGCACATTCTAAATTTTATATTCCCTTAACCTGTGAATGAAAGTAAAACTCAAAAGATCAAGACATATGAGTCAAAGCAACACAAAGAACAAAATAAGCAATTCAATATTAACCAAAAATTCTGCCATTGAGGCATGAGAAGTAAGGAAATCAGAGATGAGAGAGAATACCTGAAGAAGAAGAATGTGGGAAATTACTAATTGCTCATATGATTTCAGGAAATCCAACACATCATGAATGCAATTTGGATCAAACAAGAAAAAAGGATGCATGTGTGCCATTAAAGTGATGAACAATAGCATAGTTATATTAAGAGAAGTGACTGAAATTCTAGCTTCTCTATAAAACTGGAAAGTTCTGTGTTTGCATAAGAACCATAATTCTTGGCTCAAATGCTTCAAAGCATCTCATGAATTACTAACAAGGCACTTTATCAGTAACCCCTCAGACATAAGTCCAATGCCACCTTTCTTCATAGAAAGAGTCATGTATCTATTGCCAAAAGATAATACAAGTGGCCCCCTCCAAATATAGTCTAATTACATGTTTATGTACAGTTCTTTGCATAAACATTCACAGCTTGTATCTTTCCGCAAAAAAAAAAAATCTATAAACACTTGTAAGAAAATAATATATTGGCTTCTCAGCCAGAAAGTTCCAGGTACATAAAGAGCCATTATTGATTCATTAATTGTTAGACAAGGTGCTCCAAAGCTCTCAAACATATACTGCTTTTGCTGATTATCATAAAGCCTTGGGGACTCAGTTCCACACTCATGGCTTGCTTATTTACTGTAAATATATGACACAGACCCAAGTGTAGTGAGAATGAAAGAATATTTGATATTCATGGAAAATGCTTTTCTATTTAAAACATGTCAAAAACAATTCCTAAAAAAAAATAGCATATATCAGGAAGATTAATTTAAAGATCATTATGGGGGCAGCTAGGTGGTGCATTGCATAGAGCACCGGCCCTGAAGTCAGGAGGGCCTGAGTTTAAATCCGGCCTCAGACCAAACATTTGACACATATTAGCTGTGTGACCTTGGACAAGTCACTCACCCAAAAAAAAAAGATCATTATGGTTCTGCCTATTTTTCAATATGCTATTATCTCTCTTAAGTATGGCTTCCAAATTAAAGAAGCTAAACTAAAACATCTTATTTAGTACCTGGAGTATATGGATGAAGTCAAGCTCCTTCATCATAAGGAATTTTTCTCCAGTGATATCAGAATGTCATTCGGACTTAATAAGTATAAAATTCTTAAGGTACATCAAGGAAAGATAGAAACTAAAAGCTTCAAATGTGAGTCCAGAGCTGGTTTTATGAAAAAAAAAAATAGGTAAACCATTGGTTAATTTAATTTAAGAAAAAAGAAAAAGAAGAAAACCAAATTCAAAAATGAAAGGAGTGAATTCACCACCAATGAAGAGGAAATTAAAGAAATTATTAGGAGTTATTTTGCCTAATTATGTGCCAATAAAACTGACAATCTAAGTGAAATCAATGATTATTTATAAAATATAAATTGTCTAGATTAACAGAAGAGAAAATAAAATACTTAAATAATCTCATCTTAGAAAAATAAATAGAACAGACCATCAATAAACTCCCTAAGGAAAAAATTCCCCATTACCAGATGGATTCACAAATGAATTCTACCAAACATTTAAAGAACAATTAATTCTAGTACCATATAAACTATTTAGAAAAATAGGCAAAGAAGGAGTCCTATCAAATTCCTTTTACGACACAAACATGGTACTGACACCTAAATCAGGAAGAGCAAAAACACAGAAAGAAATCTATAGACTAATTTCCCTAATGAATATCGATGCAAACTTGAATCTAGAGGTCTTTTTGAAGCAATGAATGAAGGTTTACCTTAATTTCCTCCAAGCAAGACACATGAAGCATGAAGATAGCAAGGAAAAGCTATGGCTAAATATATTGAGAATTAATGACATTATGCAATCAAAGCTGTATGGAAAGAACATATTTAAAGCAACATCTATGCCATAAAATAAATAATAGAATTGGAAAGAACTCTAACAAAAATCTATACAATAGTAACAACAAAATATGGGACCTATCACCTTCAGTTGATTAATTCCTCTATGCCAAAAAAGGAGAAAGAGGACTGACATTTTTAGAGAATTTGTTTAACAGACAAACACGCGCACACATGCATGTGCGCGCTCACACACACACATACATACATACACACGCACACACAGAGAAATATTTCAAGGACAAACAGATATTCAGTTCACCAGGCAATAGTAAATCAAGATTGAGAATAAGCATATGCCACAAGATTTTATCATTGGAAAGTGACTGAG